TTCTGCATTTTCCTGCAGAAACATTTACTTCCTGAGCCATGATGTAGGCTATGAACCCAAGCCTTGAATTTTCCTGATTATGGACAAGCAAGGATGGCACAAGGGCTGTCCTGCCTGACAAATCTTTCCCAGTTAATTGGCAATTAGTCCACAGGCTAACCAGCAGAAATGAGCAAAAACACCTACCTCTATAAATGGTTTATTTCCAGTTTTTAGGGGGAATCAGGAGTTTTGAAAATATCCTTATATAGTCTTTACTTAAATGTTGTAAGTATTCAACAAATATTTGCAAATAATAATAATTCAGTAATTCTTTACTGAGCCTCAGTTCCTGTGCTAGGCGTTTTATATGTAATTTCTCATTTAATCCTCACAATGATCACAAGGAATAACTGTTGTCAAAAAATCCCTATTTTGGAAAAAAGACAACCAAGATTTAGAGATAGCTAAGTAAATTGTCCCAAGTCACAAAACTAATTTACTTAGCCAAATGCTCAAGTTTACCAGTTCAGTTATTCTCTCTGGGCCTCAGTTCCCCTATCTATAAACTGAGGGTTTTTTTTTTTGTTGTTGTTGTTGTTGTTCCTTTCTTTTCTTTTAAAATTCCCTTTACCTGGGTTTATTTTCCATGTGGACTGCAGTGGAGAGGTAGGTCCGAAAGTAGGGGATTTCTAATCAGGGACAAAATGAAGGCATTTTGTGGTGCATAAATGCAATCACAAGTCTTATTACACATCAGCCATTTGTCTATGCACCTCTACCATTTTTCTAGCTGATGCCTGTAACAAAATTATTTCCTGATTAGATGCTATACATGACATTTCAGTAGATATTATAATATTTGAATATTATAATATATTTGGCTACTTATTTTATTTAGCTAATGAGTATGTATTATCAGTTTACCAACTCTGGTGAAAGAAACATATCTACAATAGAAAAACAGATATACCTTCAATTTTTCAAGGTGGTAGAAATTTGACCTCAAGTTGGCTCTTCCATCTTTCCTCTGTGAAGTGGCTAAGTTCCAAGTCATTGGTGGTAAAGAGGGGCTTCAGAAGATACTCTGCTCCTTGAGTCTGATGCCCCTCAGTGTTGTGAAACTGGTCATTTGTTGGTCTTGGCCTCACTTATGGATCCATAAAAGTTATTACCAAGATTACCCTGATGATGGAGTCCCTTGATTTTTGGACCATAACTGAGAACTGAAGAAAATTTTGATGCACACCTGTAATCCCAGTGGCTCCAGAGGCTGTGAGGCAGGAGGATCTCAAGTGCAAACCAAGCCTCAATTATTTGGTTTACTTAAACTGCAACTATATTATCTTCCTGCTAAATCTAGAAATATCTTAACAAATTAAACCAGCAGCTTAGTTCAACTTTGTTTTTAAAGTAAATTTCATAATCTGTATATGATTTATTAAATCATCTTTAATATTTGTAAAAATATAGGACCAGCTAATGTTTCCTGAATAGCAGAATAGGAAAGAGAAACAGGAATTTAATTCCATTAATTTATTAATATTTATTTTATCCACCTACATATATTA